AAACTAAGGAATATTTGGATAATCTGCAGATTGGAAGATCATATCTTGCGCAATCGATCTAATGGATTCTGGTACGCTTCCGCTAATCTATGGTTTATTTCTCTCGAAATCGAATCTGAATTTTCTTTTTTTTAGTTCTAACAATAATAACATAAAATTACTAATTATATAACTAGATTCCCTTATTCGTATCAAGAAAATCGCCAAAAATTTATGGATGGGATCGTGAAACAAGGTTAAGACAAGAATATGGAGCTATCAAGAAAAGTGGAAGAATCAGCACACATTGATTATACGACATTTGATCGGTTCGGTTGACATGATTTTGAAGCAAAGCCGTCTCATAGCACAAATGTCAAACCGTAAGACCCCCGTAAATCAACCTCTGATGCTTCACGCCAGCCGCCTTCCTCTACTACGAGACGATCTACTGCAGATGCTCCAAGGAGGTCTTCTTTTAGCATAATACAAAGATATTTGTTTGAAGAAGCACAAGATCCAGAGATATCAACTTATATAGTCAAATCATTATTTGTGGGACACTCCAGTTATGCATGACCGTCTAGCTATGCAAAACCCTCCGGATATGCAGTACTATCAGTATTTAAGGTTCCACCATTTGACCAGAAATAGACAACCACTGTTGGTGGAGAATTTGATTTAAATTTTCAAAACATTCCCATGTTTGTATCTATTTCTTACACAGACATATGGGTTTCAGTGCACCACAATTATAATCTTCGTCAAATCCTAATGAACGGATTTACTGGTTGCTATGAGAAACTATGAATAACACAACTACGAGCGATGATATTGAAGAAGAATTTCAAGAACATTAATTGAATCACCGATCACTACGACTACTGTCTCAAGATACACCTGTCTCAGGCGTTATTCCACCCCGGCGTAGAAGATAGTTTTTTTTGAAAAATATTATGTTTGTTGATTTAATTTTTTCAATTTGCTCAATTAATTTAATTTGTTTCTTTTTTTAACTATTTCAATAGGAAATAAATTTTACAAATTTGAATTTTCTTAGTATATTTAGTTATTTCAAAGTTATTTTTTATTTAACTAAAATTAATTCCAATTCATAAATTAATGTAGGAATTACTTTTAATGTTTTTAATGTATATAATAAATAATAATAATATTTATAATATGATTTAATATATTATATATTAATAATATTATTATATATAATAAAAATAAAAACAAAAGGCTCCCCCATAGGGAGCGCATCCACTTACATATGGCCCCCTCTTCTCTTTTTTTTTTTGTTTTTTTTTTTAAATGGTGCTCTATTTGCTAATTTGATCTATTAAGGTGATCCTTTATATAATTTAGCCAAACACTAAACCTTGGATGAATGTGGGTTATTAGCTCAATACTCCTCTTGTGTGATTGTGCATAAGTAACCTTTAAATGTCCGAGACAAATATAATCAAACACATTGACATGCATTAAACTATTAGGAATGACAAATATTAGGTGATAATGAGCGGTTTGTTTGTCCATAGTTCTTAAAAAAAAGAAAAAAAAAAGTCTAGATACAAGATTATATAACATATATGACAGAATGATGATAAATATCAATAGGCAATTAGATGAGGTCAAAATGAATCGTGATATATCGCGTGACCACTGGTGGTATATAAAGACGTTTTCCTTCTTGAAAGAGAGACTTGTGGCTAAGACGACATGCGCTGGATGCTACCCTCTCACATGTACATTCGGTTTTCGCAAGTGTTGGCTGACAATCAAATACGAACATTAACATCAAGTTATGGTCGATGATTTGCCCAGTGGTTCGCCTTGTTACAGGGAGACCAATGATTAAGAACAGGGGTTGGGGCAGAATTAGGTTATGTTCATGATGAGCAATCACTACAGTGGCTAAGAATTTTTTTTATTATTTTATTTCAATGAACTAGTTTGGATGCAATATTAAAAAAAATTCATGTAGCCAATGCCACGTAGTGGGATTAAGGCTTTGTTGTTATTGTTGTATTTCAAAGAACTAGTTTGTCGAACATTTTTATATTATTTTTTTTACTTGGTATTAGCTAGTTAGTTTAATTTGAATTTTTTTCAATGGATTATTTATTTATATAATACCATTTGTCAATAACTTCATATAAGAAATCAAATAAAAATTTAAAATTTTAACTTGTTTATTAACATTATACAAAAAATAATTTACAAATCAAATGTTTAATTTTACATGAAAATTTAGGTCTTCATTTGAATTTTTAAATTTTAAATTAATACAAACAAGCCAAATACAAATGAAATATGAACATTAAAAATGAAGTTCGTCTCAAGCTTGAATTGAACATGAACAACTTATTATTCGATCAAGCCAAGCCCAAACTATGGCATAGTCTGCTAGACTCGGCTCCATTACAACCCTATGTGTAATATATGTTAGACATTTGTTATTGCTTCGCTTCAAATAATATGAGATGTGATTACTTTGAAGTGAGATTTTTAGGAATATCACTAAATTCTTTTTTTTTTTTTAAATTTTTTATTCTTATATCTAATACATAAATTATTATTTTTAATTAAACGAATATCTCATTTACTTCATTTGAAATACTTTAATATTTGTGATGCTATGAAAAATATATAAAATTTAGTGTCATAAAATTAAATATAATGGAATATATTGGATATGTAATTATATAATAAATTCGTGGTAGAAAACGGCAGAAGGCCAACATAGCCCATAAGTTTGACCCTTTTGAAGTCTAGTTAGAATCATTTAATTTATTGGTAGAATAGCTCAACAAAATTTTCTTGTGTGCTAAGTCATTCTTTAATTTATTACAATCATATTTAACAGTTGACGTCAATGGTTTAAAATCCAATAATGTTAGATATGACTAATATATCATAAAAAGGGACATATGTTTGAGCGGAGCGGAAGATTCTGTCCAAATCAGGTGAGTTTCCTTATGTGAGTTGGGGGTGCGGTACATGGGTAATTTGACAATTACATATTGTACCCAAAGTTTTATTTACTGTTCTTTCAAGGGTTATAAATAGGTCTGTATGTAACCGTAGGTTTTATCCCATATTATGTATCATGTACACATTTTCTAGATTAGTGGAAAAGTCGCTGCTCTACTCCCTAGGACGTAGACATCTTTGTGGAACCTCGTTAAATCTTTGTGTTCTTCTGGATTTGTGTTTATTCATGTTTTTTTTCGCCCTAATTTCTCAACAAATAATAAATAAAAGTGTCATTTACATACATACTATTGAATTCCTATGTATTTACAAATCTATCATCTAAACTTTATTTTGATATTTATATCATTCAAAATTTTCATATCACTATATATATATATATATATATATATATGATAATTAAAATAGTGATATTTTTTAAGTGATTTGGAATATTTAGATGGTATAGATTAAAAAAAAATGTAAAATTATGAAGTTAAATGTAAATATACAAAAATTGGGTGGTATGCATGTAAATGCCCCCAATAAAATAATGATTAAACAGGTTTACATTTTTGTTTGCGTGTTTACTTGAGAGCTAAGAAGAGCATATTTTAGGTAATTTGAAATTCGCTTACAACATGAAGCGGGTCATGATATTAGGGAATAATGATGGGCTTATTAAATTGGGCTAAACTTATGGGCCGCCACCAAAGTGGGCGGAAAATTAGATCTTGTGTAGGGGAAATTGATCCTTTTCTTTTGTTAAAAAAAAAATGTTATGTAGAGGGTAAAATCATATTATTTTTTATGTGAAAAACCCTGAGATCGATGGGATTTACTTTGTCTGAACTTTTTTTACTACTCCCAAAATTTACACTAGTCCTAAGAATTGAGTTTATACACTCCTCTAAGTAAAATAAAAATATTTTATTGATGGAGGTGATGAAGCTAACATTGACATTTGCTTGTTTGTTGAATTGAGAACTCGACTCTCCCTCATATTCAGTTGAATGAATAGGTCTCCTTCTAGACTCTGCTCCTAAATGATATCGACCTGGGAGAAGAGACAACTCGAACACCAATGGGAGGACAGGGGGTGATAGCTGAGGTTGATAAATACATAGCCAAGAAAGGGAACTTGCAGCACAAACTCAGTCCGAGGATTAGTAAAACATGGGAAATATCAAACATGTGACCAAAACGAGAATATGAGAAGTCAGCACAAGTTGACGACTCAACTATTTCATCACCTTGCCTTACTTCCACAAAGCAACATCTCACCTTAATTTGACAAGGTAAATGTATTTTCATCAACCTATCACATACTCCCCTGACATTGTTAGCTACACCAACAAACAATATCTTACTATAAGCTATCCAAGTCTCTCTTTGTGTAGCCATTTTTGTATTATTCTTTGGACACAATCACCCCTGAAACTATAAATAGGGAAGGCTATCCTCAAAAGAAAGGGGTTCTCTTTTCTATTTCTTCGATCGACTGTTAAGTCGTCTTTCTATTCCCTTATAAGGCCTGTTTTGATGGTGTGAGACTAGTGGCATCTAACAATCCTCTAACAACAAATTTATCCTTCTTATTTTTTTCCTCTAATTTTATTAAACTCGGCTCAAATTTGTTAGAATTATTAGAATCAAATATGTAATGTATTAAGCTCATTTTAGCTCAAATTTAATTTTAAAAAAACAAATAAATAAATTTGAATAGACCTTTAAAATTCATCTTATACTAAAATTTTAATTAAGCTCAATAAAAGTTTAAAAACCAACATATTTAAGATGATACATATCTCGATCCCATAAATCTTTCCTTAAAACATAATAATAATAATAATAATAATAATAATAATAATAATAATAATAATAATAATAATAATAATAATAATAATAATAATAATAATAATAATAATAATAATAATAATAATAATAATAATAATAATAATAATAATAATAATAATAATAATAGTAATAATAATAATAATAATAATAATAATAAAAGATAAGTTGCCGATATCGCTGAAAGCAATAGCAACCTCACACCTCCATCCGCCTTTCACCTCCAACCCCATCCCTCTTTACAAATGGGGTAAAAAGCTCCATTATAACCAAGCAAAATACAGAAGAAACTCCACATCTCAGCCATGGCCGCCGCCGCCGTAAACCCCTCCCACCTCCTACTCTCCCACACTTTCCCCTCCCAGTTCACCTCCACCCTTTCCCCATTCCCACTCCACAAACCCTCCCCCTCCTTCTCCAAAAGAAACACCAGAAATCCTTCCCCCACCTCCCCATTCCGATGCGCCGTCACTAGCGTCGACGAGACCGCCGCTAAAACCCCCCCGCCGGGGACCAAGAAGAAGAGCAGCTTCCTGATCCAAACCCTAACGTCGTGGCTCCTGAAACAGGAGCAAGCCGGCAACATCGACGCCGAGCTCACCATCGTCCTCTCGAGCATCTCCATGGCCTGCAAGCAGATCGCCTCTCTTGTGCAGCGCGCTGGCATATCCAACCTCACCGGCATCCAGGGGAACGTCAATGTGCAGGGCGAGGACCAGAAGAAGCTGGATGTCGTATCCAATGAGGTAATTGATTGAATCCCGTGCTCAATATAAACCCGTCGATTTGAGATTTCGATTGTTCGTTGAAGAGTTTGGGAGTGAGTATAGGTGTTTTCGAACTGCTTGAGGTCGAGTGGGAGGACGGGGATTATAGCGTCGGAGGAGGAGGATGTGCCCGTAGCGGTGGAGGAGAGCTATTCCGGCAATTACATCGTCGTATTTGATCCGTTGGATGGGTCGTCGAACATTGACGCCGCTGTATCCACTGGTTCTATCTTTGGGATTTACAGCCCTAATGACGAATGCCTCGCCGATGTTGACGAGGACGGCACGGTAAGATCTCTGTTGCTTTTCTCAAAATGAATTCATCATAGTTTCTTAAGGTGCCAGTATTTAATGATTTCGATTGTTTTCTCTTCATCTCGTTACTCGTAAGTTATTGGGCTAATTACAAAAAACTTGAAATGTGGGAGCAATGATCAGTTCAAGGAAAAAATTATTAAGTTTGGAGTTTGTAAGTAGGGCTCTTCAAAGCTGGTTCTATTTTTTTTTTTTTTTAACTTGATCGGAATTGGCTCCTGAATCGATTATAGTTAGTTTGGATTTTATTCGGCTTGAATTTGAACGGTTTTCGAGTTGGCTTGAATTGTAAACAAGCCGACTCGAATGTAATTTCTGGCTCGAATGATGCTCGATCCGGCTTAAAATGCTGCTCGATCCTGCTCCAAATACATAATGAACCGGTTCCAAAATCTCATTTGAATAAAAATTATTTATTTATACGAAAAACAAAAGAATAAAATAGGCAAATATAGAAGTTACAACAATAAGGCGAAGTATATATTATTTGTAATCGTACATAATCATAAATATTTATTGTGATTTATAAAGTACAATTGGCAAGCATAAATATAAAATATAAAAGTTACTGATGCGTGCTAGAAAATTCGCGGCGATAGAGTAATGGATTATCGTCTTAGCGTTGTGCGAGTATTCAACACACACTTAAATGAAAATGAATCAAGCTGTGATAACACCAGAAATTTTTACGTGAAAATCCCGTAAATGGGAAAACCCACAGGGTCTGACCCAGTTGTAAAAATCTACTATAAGTTGATGATTACAAATGCCTTTTGTTCTACAGGCGGGAAAAAGTTACTAGCTTTCCAAGTTACAACATCGACTGACGACGTCTAGTTAGTGGTGGTTGACGGAAGTCGGCGGTGATTGACGGTAGTTGACGATAATCGATGACGGTCGGCAGTGGTCGACGGAGGTCGGCGGTGGTCGACGGAGGTTGGCGGTGACTGACGACAGTTGATGACGGTGGCCGATGGTGGTCGACAGAGGTTAGTGGTGGTTGTCGACGGTTAGTGGTGGTTAACGACGATCAACGATGACGAGGATGATCTTGGACTTGAGCTCCTTCTCAAAGCCTCAAGTTCTCTCTTAAGCCTCTCTCTTTTCATGTGAGGGGTGAGACTCTATTTATAGTGTTTTGAGTGCAATTAATGCAGAAATATGAACCATTTTGATTCAGAAAACTTCCTTTGATCAGATGACATTTGATGGACATTTGAGTGTCTTAACGATGTCGAAATTGAGGAATCTTGGGCTCATTGGATTCATTTTGTTGAAACGTTCGATTCGACAATGAACTCGCTAGATTCAACATTTGTTTGATCTTTCAAATGTCTCCAGAAATCCTCCAATAGTGGTTTAATGATTTGATATGGGCTTGATTTGACTCGGATTAGACTGACTTTCATATTATTAGGTCAGTCTTATCGAGCCGATCAATTTGACTATAAGTTTGCTGAAATCAGAGCTCTGGATGACTCTTAATCGAAGTTTGAATTTTTTTGTTCAAAAAATTATACCGAAATTCGTGCTGAATGATGAAAATTTATTGGCATCGTATCAATTACATATAAAAGTAAAACTAAAATGATTTTGGAATGTTGATGATTTTTATTCTCAAATAATCTTTCAAAGCTGTCAAAAAATAAAACTTAGATATTAATAAAGTTTTATTTATGTAAATATGTAGAGGTACTCAAAGCTATTAAATGATTAAATCAGTATTGGGGCTTGGGGCATACATATACATTTACTTTTTATATTTAGTTTTCATATGATTAACTTATTTCTGAATTTCAAAAACTTCAAGAAAATATAAAAAATTATAGTGCAAAAGAGAAGTTCTTTAAAAAAAATTGAAAATAAAAGTCTGAGTGAAATGCTTCGACTTCAGTCTATATGCGGGTTCAAACTCACATCTAGCTCTGAATTTTAAAAAAATTCTCCTATAAAACATCATTCAGGAAACTGGACCCAAGTTTAGGAAGGCTCAAAACTAAATCCAACTTTGAGAGAATCATATCACCAAATTTATATATACACTACAGGAACAAAGACTTTTTCTGATGGCCAAATTCCATCGGCCATGACGAGAAAAAAATGTTGTATTTATTGTTTTCAATGGTGTATCGATAATTTTAAGTTTGTAGGTAAAATGATTGTCAGTAATTTCAGAATCAATTAAAATTATGACAACAATTAATTACCGGCGCATAACCGACGATTTAATGTCCTAGTTTTTTTAATAAAATTTTGAATCGTCGGTTCACATTAGTTCATATAATCAACGGTTGATAAGTCAGTAATAATGATAGCTTACACAAGTGTCGCACTCATCGCTTTTTTAATGCATTTTATTCCGTCGGTTACAAGTCACTAATGTGTCAGTTATATTAACCGGCAGCTAAACTGTCAGAAAAGCGTCACACCCATCCTTTTTGGATGACTTGGGAGTTTCGTCGGTTTATTGTCTCTAATATGTTGGTTATAGAAACCGATGATTAAACTATCGGAAAACTATCGCGCTCGTCGTTTTTGTGCGACGTACTTAAGAAGTTTGTTCGGTGTTGGGTAGGCGTCGGTAAATAAGTCCATCGGCTAGCCGACTGCTTTGTCTATAATTATGTTGAAAGCAATCGCAAAAAGCCTGTAGCATAAGAAAAAAACATATTCTTTATTTCATATTTACATTACCACACTTTTTTGTCACAACATCTAAGATACATTCCAGACATTTAACGAACTAGAATAGTAGTCGAACAACAAATTATTCAATCAAAGAAACATATAAATTAAATGCATATATTTTAAAATATATACATCACTGTGAAAAATAAATGTTCAAAAGTGCAATATAAACATAAAAAAAAGAAATAATCCTTTATTATCTTCTCATCCTCATCGTTCTCTGTCTCTTCCTCCTCCTCCAATGTTGTCTTGCCATGTTGCGCATCCGCTGCCGGAACGAATATAACTCGACCTTTAGCTTGGCCTTCATGTTTGCCTCCAGCTCCGACCTCATCTGAGTGAAGCAGGCCTCCATCGCGGCTGTGAATGCAACAACGTGCCCAAAGATCTCCTCGTCCTATGCGGTAGAGGTGTAAGCTCTAGATGCATTGGTGGAGGGGTGAGTGTTGTAGGCAAATCTTTGCGCCCCAAGCTTGTAAGCTTGACCATTCTTCTTCCCTCCAACAATCTCTCTCCACAGGTTGTACTCGGAAAGATTGCGCTCGAGGATTGTAATACCTCTCGACGTCTGGAATCTGCTTTCCATCAGTTGTTGGAAGCTCTTCTGCAAAAAAATAGTAGCTACATTCAGTTATAGCTAGTATGCATTAACATCAAACTAGTTTAGCTTGTGAATTACCTGGGTCGCACAGGATTTATCGATCATCCATCACTAGTCGAACTGCCTCTGGTGGGTGTGCTCATTTACAACAGCGGCGGATGACTCTTCTCTCATTTCCATAATCTATCCATATAACTAAATAATAGAATACATCTCCAAACTATATAAAACTTTAAAGTATGAATGAAATCTTATCAGCCTCCGCTTGTATTTTGTATGTGGGAATGTCCCACCAGTGTGCTTGAAGGGTCTCATGCCTCGATAGTTTGACCATCTATTTGCTTGCTCTCTCTTCTTCTGGTAGTCCGGGGAATCCCAAGCCCTAAGCAATAAGACAAAGACATCCTCTTCGAGTCACAGAGGACGTTGTCGCTATTTTCGAATATCGTCAAACATGTTCCGGAGGCGGTCGCTGCCCTTGCGCTCGAAGTTGCGTCGGATGCGTGTCTCGTGCTCAGGTCGCTAGAAGAATTGTTTTTGCAAAATTATAGGGATTATGTTCATCTCATACATAAATAAAAACAATATAAGATATTTGTGAATGATACATACCGCAAACTCCTGAAATAAAAAATCTTGAACTGTCATCGGGAGCTTCATCCACGGAAAGTGCGCTGAGTTGTATTTGCTCCAAATGATATCTCGAATGACATTAATAGTCTAGGTTGTCGGGTAGAACCTTAAAACAACAAATTATTAATTTTATATTTAATTGTAAAAAAAAAAATTATTGTCAATATCTTAAACATAACTTGTGTGTTGCCGACAAGCTCGATGAAGTAGTTACTGCCTGTCGACCCCTACTTGGTAGAGGCGGCTTGGGCCTCTGACACACTCAACCCCCCTGTAGTCAGGGTGAAGGTAGGGGTGGGGGTGAGTGTAACAGTGGGGTTGGGAATGAGGGTCGGGGTAGCAGTGAAAGTGGGGTTGGGTATGGGGGTGGGGGCAAGTGCGAGAGTGGGAGCGGAGGTAGGGGTCGAGGTTATGGCGGAGGTGGGGGTGCGTGCTGAAACCAGACAACCTCTCCTGACATGTTTTTTTGTCAAATAGAGCTGTGCTCCATCCTAACAAATAAAAGAAATTTTTATTAGTTAGTGTACATAACAACATATTATGTAATAAACTGAAAACAAAACAATACACAATTATAAATATAAAACAAGAAATTGTAAAATGAAAGGTAAAATTAATAAAACCAAAAACACCAAAGTACCCAATGAACTGAAATTTAAAATTAATTGAAAAGAACAATAATTCCAATATACAAAGTAACTTGCTCATTTTACTCAACATTATCTGAAGAGTGGCTAGAGGATGTAGTCATGTTCTCTTCTTCAAATGCATCGTTCGTAGTCGTACTCATCATTGAGGTTAATTCCTTCGTATTCGCCACTTGCAACCTCTAGATTAAGCTCTTCACCAATTGCATCAATTGGGAAACAGAAACCTGTCATTTCAGTTTCTTGTTAGGTGAGTTAAAAGTTATTCTGAATATTAGTGGTAGTTCTTGGTTTACTTGAAATGACAACAACTCAGTCAACATTTTTTCTTGCTCTATGTGGATATCAAATATAGTAAACCTGACTCGTCTATCGAGTTATAATGAAATAATCAAACTTAGCATAAATTATATTCACTTTCACTTCTGTGATATTATATAGTTAGTTTTCCTTTGTTTTATGATTACTAACAGGGTCGAACCAATTATAGCTGAATATGAATACACTTTCTCCAATAGAGTCTGGGTAAGATAGCTCAATCACATCTTCCAGAAGCCCATGATAGTCTATCTCGTCATCTAGATTGTATTTGATTATGATCCATTCAATAAGGCTGATCCCAATAAATTGACTTCTTTGTCCAATTATGAGTGACACCTAATTCGGGTGGATGATATTGAGCAATGTCAGGGTATACAATAATCTTTGAAATGTCATTAACAATAAACCATATATTTTCCCCATATATTCTTATAGGTGGCGATGATTTCTCAATTTTGTTCCTTCTGAATGTGCTCCTATTCCTCTTGAAGGGATGTTCACCATTTAGAAACATACAGTGAGAGTCAAACCATGAATTCTTCCTTTCATGATGAGTCGTAAATGTCTTAGATGAATTCATGCAATATGGATGTCTTGTTCCATCCAAAGATCATTTTTTCAAATATGCTCGAGTCAAATCTTGGTGGAGGATCATAACTCGTCGAAGGAGGGGAGCTATCCGATAATCTTACTGAAATCCTCAACGGTATATATCATATCCCACTTTGCTAGGCATTAAATGTAACTGATTTCTGTGTTCCAGCATGGAGACCGAAATCCACCCTTAGATAGGTAAGCTGGCAGTTGAGAAACAGCTGCCACAAATGTCTCGACACCGTTCAAGATCTTCGGGGTGATCTATTTTCTATCTGAATAAAGTCTTTTGTACATTAACGATCTTCATGCACGAATATCCATGTGTACCTTCAAACTTGAGAATAATCAACACATTATAAAATGCATTCAATTGAATATATTATATTTAATTATATAGTAGATTTACTAGGGGATTTTGTAACAAAAGGTGATCAAACCTGACAATATTCAAATCATTTTAAAAGGAGTGAACGTTTTAGATAACATTGGAGTCAAAACATTAACCACGCTATTAAGGTTGTCGAAGACTAATAATCAGTAAACATTTATCAATATTTTATCTCTAATCCTTGCTGTCACTGCACCTACACGAAGCATTTCACAAATATATTTCGTTCACATTTTCTCTACAAATGTAAACCCACTTATCCACCTAAATATTCTCATCTCAACAGCTCTTAATAAATTACTTTCATACTTATGAACAAATTCTGAGAAGAAAATGTTTTATATGATGCATCAGTGTTCACTTCTTTGTCTAATTAGAAATCTAACTTCCATTCTCAATATTTGAAGTGAATTTCCATTTAGGGTTAGGGTTACCTTCACATTCATTACTACACACATACTTTCAAAATATATAATTTTTTCTTATATATATATGCCTTGCTTAAATTTAAATTGCGCTAAAGCTTAGCCGCCAGATCATAAACTCCGACCACTTCAACCTTTTATACAGTCTCCAAAAAGTCCACGCATTTTGGATTAAATCACATAAATATCCGTGCTCCACTGCCTTTCTATTCATAACTTCCATTACCATGCAAAAATATTTGAGAAATTTTCTCACATTCATTCGCACCTGGCAATGCAGCTGGATCGAGCAGAGGAGAGGTGCGTGATAAACGTGTGCCAGCCGGGCACAAACCTCCTCTCCGCCGGCTACGTAATGTACTCCAGCTCCGTCATCCTCGTCCTCACCGTCGGCAGGGGCGTTTTCGTCTTTAACCTCGACCCCCTCTACGGCGAGTTCGTCCTCACCCAAGAACAGGTTCGCATCCCCCGCACCGGTGACATCTACTCCTTCAACGAGGGCAACTACCTGCTCTGGGACGACAGGCTCCGGGCCTACGTTGACAGCCTCAAGGAGCCCGGCCCAAACGGAAAGCCCTATTCAGCCCGATATATCGGCAGCCTTGTGGGGGATTTTCACCGCACGCTTCTGTACGGAGGGATATATGGGTACCCGCGCGATAGCAAGAGCGGGAACGGTAAGCTGAGACTGTTGTACGAGTGCGCGCCCATGAGCTTTATCGCCGAGCAGGCGGGGGGGAAGGGTTCCGACGGCCACCGTCGGATCCTCGACATCATTCCCAACGAGGTAGGTTTTTTTCCTTGCTTTCTTGCCACAGAATTCGTTATCTATTTTACCTAAACTGTTATGTTAATTTGTATATTGTAATGGTTACTGGAATCTTATAATAGTCTTTACGAATGAACATAACAAATATGTAGTCTTTGTAATGTTGAGGGGTATGCATGTAAAGATTTGTATATTAATTTATACATAAAGAGTTGAGTGCTCAGATTTATACTGCTGTTCTATCTAGGTTTTCTGATAATGTATCTTCATCATTTTGGTTACAGATTCATCAGAGAGTTCCACTGTTCATTGGGAGCGTGGAGGAAGTTGAGAAGGTGGAGAAATTTCTTTCCGGAGTATGAATCTTTGAATTGATAACATGCTGGGCAGCAATAATTCAGGTATTGTGTAATTAATTATAGGTGGTATTTATGTAAATCTCCTTATATTGTATCAGTATCTTTTTTTTTTTTTTGAATATTTGATATGATAAAAGATCTTGTAGGAATCATTCTTGTAGTTTGGGGTAGGGTGGTGAACGAGCCGAGCCCTCAGGCTTGGCTCGTGTTCGGCTCTTTCGAAATAGCTCGTGTTCGAAATCGGCTCGTATTCGAAATAGACTTGTGACCAGTGTGTTCGTGTTCGGCTAGATTTAAATATTCGTGTTCGTGTTCGGCTCGAAATTGGCTCGTTAAACTAAAATTTAGAAAAATAGATGTAAAGTGTGGGATTCGAACATGGATCAAATATATACAAAAGAAAACACTAACTACATTGCCACATGAGGTGTTATGATTTAAACTTAGACATAAACATATATAATATATTATTATATAAATAATATATGTAATATATTGTTATATAAAAAGTTATATAATTTTTTTTTCGAGTTTTGTTTGTGTTCGGCTCGTTAGGCTTAACGAACGAGCCGAACACGAGCTCTTCGTGAACAACGAGCCAAATTGACAGCCCTAGTTTGGGGGATGGTTAAATCGAGTTGGAGAGTTAACCTAAACTTAGAAGTAAAAAGAATTTTTATTACTTTTGAATTTAGTTTCGAGCTAATAACGATAAAGCATATCAATTTTATTAAATAATTAGTCTTAGTCCCCGGCCAATAATTTTGTTGACTTTTTTTTAGGAGGTTGGGTCTTGTGTGTTGTATGTGGGCTCATACAATTCAGGATAGAGTGTTGTTTTTAAGTGATCTCTTTCACGTCGTTGGTTAGGGAATCTCGAGGAATGTTTATGGAGGGCTCAGCAGCCCACTTCGGCCCATTTAGAAAGTGTTTTTTTTTATAATTCTTGAGTTTGAACATATGGTCAATTGTTGGTTAAAATTTATATAATCATGAAAAAAGTTAGTTTTCAAACATAATTATAACAAGCTTATTAATAAAATGATCTTATAGAAGTTTGTCGTCTCCCGTCATAATTAGCTAAAAACAATCTAGCTCGTGCTCTCGGTGCCTTCGATAAAATCACAAATTCTTCCTTCTTGTCACCTCTAAAATTAATTAAATAATTTTATTTTTATTTTTATTTTATATAATGTGTAGCAAATATTCTCATGAGCACACTTTTGTTCAGTCGTCTAGTGGTCTGCAACTTTCCCAAACTAACTGAGGAAGCTCTCAATTATATCGTCTCAACTCCTCACTAAGACATCTATTATGCTTCATTTAAAGTTTGTTTGGGGGCACTTGTGGCTTATTTAAAAATAGCCGTACAACAGCTGTGATAGTAAGCTGCTGCGAAGAGTTGATTGTCTGTTTTGTTTTGTAGTTTTAAAACAGTTCTGCTACAGTTTTTTTTTTTTTTGAACAAATGAAATTTCTGTCTATGTATTGTAGTGTTGTTTATAATTTCCAGCATCAACGTACCACTCAACTCCATCAAACGCATAGAGCACAAAGAACCGAAATTAATTGCAAAATCAAAATGCCCAAGTAGATAATGGTAGAGAATACCGTGGGGCGTCGTGGGAGAGCAAATGATACAAACCGATCCACAGAACAGAGGGAAGAGGGAGAGGAGATGAAAGGCAAGCTCACCGCAGCCACTAGAACCATCGGAACTAAATGGGACCGACCCTAGCCACCGGAGCCATGGATCAGAGAGGTCGAGAGCGGCAATGTTACCTTTAGGGCAAGAATCACAAGGGAGGGGAGAGTGGCTCACGAGGGTGAAGAACGGGACACGAGATTGATGAGGGGAAGTGCTGTTAAAGATTTGCGAAGAAATGCGTGTCTGCGGCTCGCGGTTAACATGCCTTTTCCAAAAATGCAGCCTCACTGCAACTACCAAACGGCTTCTAGCAAACGGTCCCTTGGTAATAAGAAAAAGCGTTTACGACATGCAAAATATTGCCAATAAGAAACTCGGGGTGGGGGGGTTCATCGTTTCCTGCTGTGTGAACTGAGTGTATAAGAGCTTCGATTTATGTTCTCTCCTGTGAGTTGAGGAGGAGGAAAGGAGAAGAGATGGGGCAGGTGCAGTACGGAGAGCGGCGGTGTGCAACTGTTTGCAAAAATAGAAGAGTTCTCCGAACGAAAAATTTGAAATTTTCAGTAATTCAAAATCAGAATAACAATAATATCCTCTTCCTCCATTCTCCACGCTCCTCTGTAGGAGACTAAGGATGGGGACCAACCCTTTGACAAGTAATTAAGAAGAAAGTACTGACAGTAAGCAAATACGGAAAATAAGAATTACAAATATAAAGCTATATATAAGACAGTTGCTTGAACCCCACGCCATGAAAAGTGCTCCCACCCTGTGTGCTTCGGCTGGTGATTACTGCATCAGAGTTTTTCTAGAAAGCATAAACAAAAGTGTTTTCAAACACAACTATCAACTTTAGAACATGTTCTCTAAAAGATGCTTTCAAATAATCTTTGATTAAAGAAGAAGTTTAATCAAACGAAGCCATAAGGTATTTTTGGCAGCTAGTAATATAAATCAAAAGCCGTTCTTGATAAATTTAAAACTGTCCTCAAATAAATCATACCTAGTGTGCTCCAAATTCGCCAAATTTAGAATATACTATTCTCATGCTTATCTCGTATTTGACAATGTTGTTTTTGGTGCTATTAGTTCGCCATCGTGCATCTTAGAAGCCAATATTGTAACACGTCATTGCATTGTTTCCATCCCCAAGGTCGCCGCTGATCTCAATACTATAGCATAATGTCACCGAAAAAACGCACACCCCTTAAGTATAGTGATTTTCAATGTCTGTTACCGCCTACATTGCTCACATATCTAAATATGTTGAACTTTTTTATTGTTGTATACTATAGCATAATGTCACCGAAAAGACGCACACCCCTTAAGTATAGTGATTTTCAATGTGTGTTACCACCTACATCGCTCACATATCTAAATATGTTGAACTTTTTTATTGTTGCCTTCATTTTTTCTTACCTTTAACTAAATTTTAATCCCTAAGATATATTATAAAAGTATATTTAAAAAATGCAATGTTACTACATTTCTTTATTTTCTTTTACAATTACTTAAATAATAGAAAAAAAAGTAATCTTTGGATTATTTTACAATGGATGTGCACAGAATAATCCTTGTTATGTTTAATGCATTATACTAATGAATAAAAGGTGAATTTACATACACATCACAAAATTATTTAGTATTTACATATTTAACATTTAAATCCTTGTATGTAATTATACATCACTTTAGTGTCTAGATCATGTCAAATGTGTACATAAAAATGTGTGTATAAGTCTATGACTATCAATAGGTTAATATTAATGATATTAAATATGTGATTTAAGGATTTGGTAGGTAAATATAAGAATTAGGTGTTATGTGTTTTGACATATAAGAATTTTATAATGTATATAAGCAAAAAAATATGAATTGTATGTTGATATTAACTCTTTCTTTTGTGTGCTCACAACACTAATCACAATGGGAGCTTACATATTTCCTCAAGGCTTTGTCATTGCCAACATATTTGCTAGGAATTCTTATTAATTTTCTCAAGCTATATATTTTCTTGACTCTCCCATTATACAAATGATTTAATTTGACATTTAAAAAAGTAATTTAATTTAATTTAATAAATTCTAATAAATTATAAGAAAGAGAAAAATCACCTTTGAAATTCAAGCTAATTTGAGAGAAAAAAATATAATGTGATAAAAATGATTTGGACGACATAGATATTAAAAGCATTATTTAGATGTTAGATATGTAATTACATAGAAATTGTATGGCATGTTTGTAAATGCAACTATAAAGCTAGTATTTTTAAACAAAGAGGGCAGCTTGCGTCTAGATTCTTCACTTGAATACCCACCAACGCCTACCTCCGCCCAAGCTGCGTGATCCTATTGGCTGCCGCTCTGATTCCGCTGTCTCGTCAGTGAGGGCTACGTGGAAGTGGCGGAGTAGCGATGAAAATCCAATTCACACGTGCACGCAACTAGCTCGTGCAAGCTTACAATTGGCCGAGCTTTACGAATCCGCCACATAAAAATTATTATTATTTTATTATTAAAATGAACTTTAAAAATTCGGGCTAATATAAAATAAAACTAATGAAATAGCAAGCTATACCAAAAGTCAAGACTTCATTTGTCAATGTTTCGCACTCAATATGCCTTGTGATTGTGATATAGCCGAACTGTGTAGGAGACACGACTCGTGTCCGCGAGGATAATCCACATATTTCACTAGGGCTGTCAAAATCACTCGTTGTTCGAGAACAGTTCTTGTTCGGTTCGTTCGTTAAGTTAACGAGCCGAACGCGAACATCACAAATAAATATTTTTTTCGTTCGTGTTAGGCTCGTTTTGACTCGAAATACTATTAATTCATTATATAGATATCTTTGATGAGTAGTATTTTTAAAAAAATTAATTGACTGCAAGGCTACAAAGATTTATAATCAATTAAAAGTATTAATGAAGAAAATAGAATAAAATTTATTAATTTAGATTTTTAGATTCATAAAATTTATTAATTTAGATTCAAATGATGTTTTAATTCTTGCCCATTTCCTTAATATCTTATGGCTACGTTATTAGGGTAGTCAAAACGACTATTTGTTTGTGAATGACTCGTGTTCGGCTGGCTAAGCAAACGAGCCAAACACGAACACACAAACACGAACACACTTTTTAGCTCCAGGCTCGCTCGTGTTCAGCTCGTTCACACCCCTATATCTCACTCGTCGATTTGCCAGCTTATAAGAGTTGCCGAGTTGAAATGTCACTCCAACTAATTAATTGAACAATCAGACTTATCAGCCTAACTCATCTCATCGAGAATCTTTGTAACTATAATAACACAAAAGTCCATACTGACACCAAGTATTAATATATGTCACATTTTAACTTATAAATCTCACATGTTTTCCTCAAGTCATGTGGATGGTTTTTGTACGACACGACTTGTATTTTAATAATTTCTTGTATATC